CCCATCAGCCACTCAGTAGGAGAAAGATGTCTACTTCCCTAAAGATTCACACACTTGGAAACCCTATGGGGACAGTTGTACTCTGTCCTAGAATATCACTAGGAGCTGGAATAGACTTGGAAATGGGTTTGGTTTTTGGTAGTATATAGGGACATTGTCTGACATTTCCTTTCCAGAGAAGAGGAGGGCAGTGAGTCCTGATCTGACAAGATTAGGACTGTATATAGAATTACCGTGTAGCCAACTTCTTCCATCAGAGCCGAGAAGCTTGGAATCAAGAGGTTTTTTTCTTTGAGATTCCAGCATCATCATCTGAAATTCTCAATTTGTCTACTGATTGACCTCAGGAAGCCATTGTTACCAGAGGAAGTTGGTTGGGCAGGCAACGTGTCACACCGTGATTTAGTTGCCAAGACAAAAAAAAAAAAAAAAAAACTAGGCTGCTGGATTTCTAAGCCAGTGTTCGTTTTGCTACTATCTTGGCAATGATAGTAAAAAAGAAAAAAAAGTTAACTAGCATGCACATGGTAAAATGAATGAGATGATCACTTATTTAATACCTAGCATGAATATTATTCCTCATCTTGGGCAAGTCAGTGATTTTCTTGTCTGTTGAGCACAGGTGTTGAATCATAGGCAGAGGAGACAAGAGTTACACTAGATTCACCCAGGTTACTGGAATCTAATAGCACAACCTTGACTTTTTTTTTCAAAAGCATTCACATTTCTTAAATAATATTTATCATCTTAATTTCCTAGTTAAGTACTGCAGGCAGGTATCATTAGAATCACCTTATAGATGAGGAAATTAATTCAATATACATAGTTTGTAAAGGTCCTACAGTTAAGTGAAAAAAAAAAAAGCTGGAGCAAGAACTGAAATTTCATGAGTTCCAAAACCAAACCAAACTCACTGCTATTGAGGGAAATATGGCTAATAGTCTTTAGGGTACTTTACATTCTATGAGATCCTACAACATAGAAGGTCCATAAGCAAAATATACCAACTTTTTCTATCCTAAAATATTTCCCACGGTTGGGGAGTAACATAGTTTCTTTGAACCTTTCTTTCTTTCTTTCTTTTCCCCATTTGTATGGGTTTCCGAGGCAGTATCACTATGGAAGTAGATTGCCCCATCTTCCTTCCGAGGAGTGGCTGGTGGGCTTGAACCACCAGCCGTCCGGTTAGTAGTCTACATTGGGCTTGGTGAGCACACCTCAGGTTATGCTAATAATTGGTTCTTTTGTACTAATCATGGCACTTGTTTCAATAAAAACATTGTTTATTGCCCAGCATTTTTCTTTTGGCCCACATTGTCCCCACTGATTTAACTAATTATCATTGAGTACCCACTTGGCCTATGGCATCTGTTTCATGGTAGAGTTTTATTTTTATTAATCAGGTAGGTTGCTTGGAACAGAGGTCTTCTTTTTCATAAAAGACAAATAAATGATTGGTTCTGAATCCTATGGATTTGGGGTCAACAGGGGGGGTAATTGTGCAACTCCCCTTTTTTCCCCTAGGGATGATCTCCCAGTGGTAAGGGTGAGCCATGCTCAGTTGTGAGTTCAAGAGAGCTCAGGTTCTCTTGATTCTCAATAACTGCTAAGCCGATGGTGATGGGAGAATGGGTACAGGTGCTGATGACCTGTAACTGTCTAGAGGTTGTTTTCGATGTTGTTCCTTTTTAACATTTTAACACTTCTGCTTGTGGTATAGATTCTATACTCTTATTCAAGAGTACACTAATGATCTAACCACTTCTAGCTGCTGGGCACTGTTTGCCAATGCCTCCCTATGCCCCTTCTGGCCACTACCCCTCCAAGAACAACTACCTTCCTGACTGCTAACCTGCTTCTGTACTTTATATAAACAGATATAAACAGACGAATTCTTTTTGGATCTGGCATCTTTTGTTCAACATTCTGTTTATGAGATTAGTTGATGTTATTGTATGCTAGCTCCTTCTCATTGCTGCATAGTATTCTGTTGTTTGCAGTACAGGGAAGTATTGAATACATGCTAAATTTAAGAGCAAATGCTGGCACTCAGAGAAGATTTCCTGGTGAAAATTGATTTGGGTGCTGGGGACACAGGTGTATTCAGTTTGTGAAAATAGATCAAGCTGTGCACTTCTGTGTACTTTTCTGCTTAAATAAAACTTTAAAAATGGAATTAAACAAACAACCCAGCATCGAGGTTTAAGTCACAGACCCAGGGAGGATAAGAGTAAAAAGTGTCAGTTAATGCTACCTTCACAAAGATTCTGAGCATTCCACCTTAAAAATCAAGACTGCTTAAAGCTCCCGGAGGGCAGGGGAGGGGAGTCGTTCTTTCCTTCCTCCACTCTCAGGACTTGCCTGGTCCTCTGGAGCAGCCCAGCACACGCTAATCCATGCGTTTCCATCAGGCTAAGTAACTGGGGGAATGTGTCAACTCTGAATTACCGTGGGCAGCAGGGACAGATCTGTCAGCTGACTAATGAGGGATAGTGGTGGTGGTTTTTTTTTTTTTTTTTTTTGCAGCGCTGCCACGGTGGTGGTAATGGAAGCAGCTACGGTAGCTTTTTTTGATAGAGGTTTTTGGCTGCTGTTTTTTAAAACCTACCCAGGAAGCAGCTCATATTTCATCAGTGTTGCACTGACATTTGGAAAAGAAGAGTATCATTGTGTGTAGGCGAGATGGCAGAAGCAAATCCCCCGAGAGGCAAGATGAGGTTCAGGAGGAATGCGGTAAGGGCTCTGCCTGCAGTCCTGGAAAGCCTCTTCCGAAAT